AAAATCGCCTACAATTGCCAGTGGATCATCTCTGTGCAGAAGTTGTTGGACTTAAGCACTTTGCGGTACCTACCTTTCCACGCAGGGGAAAAACCATTTGAGGCTATCCAGGGAATGCTGGACTGGATGCTTCCCTTGGAATAGCGTATATTTACTTATCAAGCTGTAAATACGTCCATGGTGTTACCATCAGTGGATATGAAATTGTTAAAGCCCGTAAATACGAATGGGTTCCAGACTTTTTATGTGCACCCAAAAGGTTTCCTGTCCCCCTTAACTGCTCGTGGTGGATGGTCGGTAGGTATATATGGAATTATCTATGGCATAAAAATGAACACCATGGAAATAAATGCATCTTTAAATTTAAACTATGCTCCTCATATTGAAGCGGCAATGTCAACCAATCAGCCCGTTTCCGCATGCCACACAGTAATGATTGAAGTTTCGCTTGTAACATATTTAGTTGAGGATAGACGTGATCAAGGGCTATCTACACCTTTGAACCTATGTGGTAAAGGTAGACGTTTATCAATGATCAAATTGAGTATGCTTGATCACCATAATAAGTAGTTTACTATTGGATACCTGCCAAGGTATATCGGTGAATAGCAGATGAAAAAAAAAGACCAGTTGGAGCTAGAGTGTCAAGTTTCTTTGACTTTCAGGTTTTATTATATGAGTAAGAACAAAATCAATATCGACTGGTTTGTCGATGGGCTCATTTGTGCATCAGAGTACTGTTTTCAGCACATTTTGTAACTACACATAATCCCATACTTTGAGCTCCGGTCTGAACCACCCTCATTTGTACAGTTTTTTTATCCACACATACCTTGTTTACACTTAGTTTCTTTAACATATTAGAATGATCTTGCTTAATAAGTACCTTGATAAAAGAGAATTAAACTGAGTAGTCGAACCTTAACTATTCCTTCATGAACATTACCTGCTCTGCTTCTCGTTCTTTCTTTTTCTTACGCTCTTTTTCAGCCCCCTTGAGATGTGCCACTGAAAACAGATATGGAACCAGCGACTCCGTCCTGCACCATCATCAAAGCCTCAGATTTTCCACAGGGATATAAGGTGGCGGTTTCTAGGAGCCCCCAACTTCACATGGATCTATCCTCGACCATCCGTTGCACGCCGCGACGCAACTTTCATAAGGCGCGCCAACTGTGATACTGACAATACGATTCTTACTAAAACCATCTACATTCATATCTTATAAAATATCAACCCAGCTGAGTAATTACTACGGCGAAAATTGTATCTTTTGTAACAATTTGGTCTTGCCTGTAAACTGGCATGCCTCATGCAGCAAACTTATATTTGAGAATAAATTATTATTTTGGATCATTACCACTCCTCACGAATGGCCTTATATATGTCGTCTACTGAATCTAATAATCGAAAATAACCCAGGTGCATCTAACTATTTTGCTGGATGATTTGTTGTTTTTTGTATTTAACATGTGTATATTTCCAGAGACTCGTCATATAAGTTTCTTACAAACCGCTCCCAAAAAGGTTTTCGGTATGAGAAATATTTAGTAGCTTTATACTACAACATACTCTTAAGAAAAAGTGTGTTGTCTAAAGACATTTCTTGGTTGCAGTTGCTTTTGCCAAATAGTTGTAAATGTCACTAGGCTAAATGCAGGAGCTTCTAATGGAAAGTTTATAACTCGTCATATTCCTACTTGAAGTTCCACAAGGCGTCTTAACTTTGAAATTATTTTTCTGGCCATGTTTATTATTTCTTAAATTGCCATATGCCACACCAACCTGCATGTTAACCTGGCCCGTACATGCGCTGCATTATACCTCTATGTCATTTAGATTTAAAAATCATCTGAATCGCCTTTAACATTTTTCAGTAAACCCATCATAGTCGTTATTGCTATACGTATTTGAGATTATGAATTGATCTATCATATTAGTAACTTAAAAAGATGAACGCAGTCTAAATAACAAAGTTGCAGATTAAGGTACTGTCATACTGCACTAGTACAATAACTAAACTATCAGGCAGTTGTTGGCTAAACAAACGTTTAAAATTAAAATACCGGAAATTACTATTAAAATTAACAATATGTATACGAATATTTTTAAATTGCAATTAGTAATATAATCAGGTAGCTCGAATGCACACTTCTTATATAATATCAGCCCAGCTGAGTAACTTACTACAATTAAAATTTTGTCTCTTGTAACAATTTGATCTTGCCTGCAAATTGGCGTGCTTCATGTAACAAATGCCTTTTGAGAATAACGTATTGTTATTATTATATAGTTAAGTTGACAAAACCGAAAAGTGATTTTTCGTATGATATATTTTTCATTGGTAATGTATATCATTCTTTTCAAGCATACATTTATTACCATTTTTGCATCAGTGTGATTGTAAGCCCTAATTACACTCATTTTTTTAACCTTCGAGGCCGACTTTGCAAAACTAGGTAGATGACGGACAAGACGAAGGAACTATGTATCTCATTTTGAATATATTCACTATTCGTCATACGACCCTTTAGATTAGGGAAGAATGACGAGATTTCACTTTCGTAGTAAGTCATTATGAGTGTTAACAAACTGTATGGTAGTTATTTTTTAATTTTCAGCTAGTCACGAATAAGCGCACTTACCACTCCACCATGGGAGAACGGGCCCTAGTGATAAATAGTTATTCGATCTGATTTTTCATAAATATTCATGAATGTTACCGACCATGTTTATTTTACTAAACTCAAAATAGCTAAAGTCTGTTAGTCAAACATTATCACCAGATTGCACTTGGATTTGACATAGAGGGCTCCTGCTTCCCTAGGATGCCTGTTTGGATGTTTCTGTGCATATAACCAAATAACATTTTCTCTCATCCATCAGCAGACTCTTCCTCGTTTATATTCAGGTTATTCAGTTAGAAGATAATCACTTGCTGGCATTGTTTAGTTCTTGCTCTCCAGAATTATCTTCAAATTCAGCCAAAACTCACTGTGTAGTCAGGTACGGACCGAAATAGATAGTCAGATTCCAACAATCTATCATAGACAACCAACTAGGTGATTCATTGGGTCATCAGGTCTTCCCAAGCCATCTAGAAAAAATAAGGTTTGAATTGGTAGCTCCTAACAACGTCTATTCTCACAAATTAAACTGCACGTCACAAACAAAGTTAATGAGCACTATATAGCAATTACTGTCTTCAAATCCTCCAAGTAGGACTGACTGTAACAAGAAATAGTCGTCATTTGAGTCACGGTAGTGAAACAATGCTTAATATTTATCCTTATCATGCAAATGAAATCGCAAAATCAAGTCAAACCCCCTAAAGCAAACTTAAATAACCTATAAAGTGAAGAAAATAGAAACCTCTGGTGGTAGAGATTACTTCTAGAGGTTGCGTGTTGAAGCTAATGGTATGATGTAAGGAATACATTTTAGCCACAAATACTTATTACTTTGTATAAATGTCTGGGCAACAAGTTAGTCTTAAAGGCAATCTTTCGGCAAAAATGCGTAATTTACACTTCCTTTTATGCCATCTAATTTGATGACAGAGCATGCTGCTGAAAAATAACTATCCTGTTCTGACTTGGTAAAACTACTTAAGAAAATGTCATAAAACAGTACTAGTTCACAGGTCACAAGCTTCGCTAACGTCATACTTGATTGGGATCCAAATAATAGACAGTGTACTGTATATAACGAAAATCTGTGAAAAACCATTAAACCTAAAACGTTTTCGTATGATTTTAGCTGCAAAATATCCAATAAGACATATTATTATGTAGGCTTTTGGGAAAATCACCTTGATATATGTATGTATACACAGAAAACATATCTCTGAAACATTACCAAACTTAAAAATTAGGGATAAATCAAAGCTAACTGAACACGTTAATTTTGTAGGCCAGTTTAAGAAGTAAATAAAGCCTTAAATGTGAGAGCAGGTCGGATACAAAATTATAGGCCATTCGTTGGTCGTGATTTGGTTACACCCAATGATTCTGTTAGGCTGTCACAATTTTCCGCAGGTCACTACCTAACCACCACCAGACGCATTATATCAAGTTTTATGTACTTGTAGTATCGGACGTTGTCAAATATTCAGAGTTGTATGTTAAAATTTGATTAGCTGGACTCAATAATCAACTTATTCAAGTAACTTCGTCGAAACATATGCATGAACTCACCTTAAAGTTCATAATGTAGTTGCGTCCCCCTTTTCAAAAAAGATACAAATCTCAGACCAAGTACAGAGACGGTCGTTCAAGTGGATGATATGGCTAAAACATAAATCTGACGAAGAGAGACTTGAACACCTGGGTTATTCTCATTTAGCTTCAGGTGAATATGAGGTGATCTGATAATTGCATATAGCTTATTAAACACGTCACGCCGCCACAAAACGAGCATGTAACTAGAACATCATTACGACGCTCCTCGAGGCATCTATCGGAAGATGGCACATCAAAGAGCGAACACATAGGTAAACTTTCACTTTTTCTTATTAAGAGTGGCCCCCAGTTGAAATGTTCACCCAAACAAAGTGACCACTATCCATCCAGTGGATAGCTTCATGACGAGAATTGACGAACACGTACCCACCCATGGATTACCATATCCCACTTGAGCCAACTGTGTTTGGTTCATGTCTCATAAACTGTTACGTCACCATGAGTATTTCCCATGTCACTTATTATAATCTCCGTCACACTCTCACTCCTCTGATTCCGTCTTCTTACAGTTCATTAATTAGGTAAACTACTTTTCTATCCTTTAAACAATCATATTCTATTAACACTCAAATTATCACTCACTATGCGTCTATACAACAAGTACAACTCATGCAGTCAGGTGGTCAGACTGTCATCAACTGAGTATTACAAAACAATGAGGAGTGAAGACAAAAAAAGATTCTGTCTATACGAGTTCGTGACAAAGACATTGGATATTGGATAGTCATTGAAATTGGATAAAATCACCATAGTATCATATTTCACGAAGTTCAAAAATGCTGATCAACATTACAGATTTTCGTTGGTGTGAAAATCTTTCAGACATAGACTTAATTATACCACTACATGGTATAAGTGCATCAAATGTAGACACACTTATTACAAGTCAATATGTTAAAGTAAGTTGCACTGAGTATCATTCACTTCAAACTATTTAAATATTGGTACTATAGTACCAATATTCACACGTGACTCATCATTTTGTTTTCACAATAACCCTTTCGATCCTATAGGAAGTTGTGACCATAAGAATTCTTACACGTTATGTATTTGAATCCTTGTATCTATACACTCACGCGCCTTGTGTGTACTTGTTTGTCGGTTATCCAATTTCTGTCTCTTTGTTACACTGCTATCTATTTTGAGCCATATTAACGCTTGTAATGAATATTATGGCGATTTAGTATGGTTATCTACTCCAGTCTATTTCTCCGATTCGTACATCTTATTGTCTGTCTGCGTAACGAGTGAATGGAATATACGTATCCAGAATTCATTATCTCATTTGACTTGTTCTGTTATTATTTAATTTTAAATAAGTCCATAATTACATATGATAGTAGCCGGCATGTATATTTCGTTCACATCATTAAACGAACTAAGCGGAGTCAGATCAACGGGTCATTAAAATTGCTGTATGGTTCAGGTAATAGATAGAACATTTAATCAACTAAAAACGAAGACATTTATGACGTTATGCACACTGGTTTTGCAGAAAATCCAAGCTAGCCCCTGGCGAAAAAGTGGATTAGTTATAAATTTGGATGACAGTAGAATAGCTAACTGAGATCAAGAGGTGGCTAATACATTTAATCTCAGAGCTTTTGTATGACCATAGGTTAAAAAAGTTAACTATGGTCCTCTTACTATCTGGAAAGATTAAAGTTGATCAGTCTTACTACATCAGAGGCTCTAACACTCCTGTTTTCATTACTTGGTTGTACATATAGTCCTGATATAGTTTGTATTTCTCAGGGCTGAGTTTATTGAGCTACATTAAGTGAATAAATTTCGTTAGCATTAACAAAATACCTTAAAAGTTAGCAATGAAATTATATAACGTATTCATTTAAACTTAAAATAGCAAACCGACCTAAGCTAAAGATTGAATGAGTAAAGTCTTAAATATTTTAGTTTCAATCAATTTTAACAAAATCGACTATAAACCCCGATTTTTTGTGTCGTGAAAGTTCCATAATCCTCAACTTATTAGAAATTGCAGTCTTTAATTGTGGAAGAGAAGGCCAGTTATCAGTACTCTCTTGTTTCAATTTCACTTTAGTTGTATTAGTACATGGTACTGACTGCGTTTGCTTTGAGGGTTTTGGCGATTTACTGGTTGATTTTTGAACTAACTGCACGTTTAATCAAATGATGCTATATGAGGATCTTTAACTCGTTTAAGTCTGGAGTAATCTTTATCTAAGTGTGGCTCGTATTCCTCTCCAAGTTGAATTATTTAAATGCTTAAATCATTCAATGGGTATATAAGCGTCCCTTATTGAGCTCATTGTAGATCCACAACTTTTGCACCATGAACAGGATCTTTATTACTCTAAACATTCACAGGAGGTTTATTAATCATCGAACATCAGCTCATAGTCTCATGAAGCAAAAACAACTTAGAGGAGCAGAGAAATCTACAGAAGCAATTAAGATTCTGGCCTACTCTACTGCTTCTGTGCAGCTAGTACTCATCTAGTCATAGCCAGTAGGTGTTAGGGTGATTTTAACCTTAGATATCACTTATCACTGTACCCTATCTTCATATAAAAAAGAGGTGAGTAGGTTGCTCACATACTCAGTTTTAACAATCACATAGACTAAACACCCTAGTTGCATACACAAGTAAAAACATTTCTCAAGAAGCCAAAAATATAAATTCATGTTGTAAAATCCAAAAAAGCTAATAGAAAACGTAGAAAGTATGTCTAAAGTCGTTATAGGTTCTAGGAGCAAAACAGTACAACTAGTGGAAAACTTTGCAACAAATCAAAATTTCAGCGATTACGTTTTTGGCCACTGAATAAAAAACCTAGAATAGCTTAAACATCACCGAATATCGATCTTTTAACAATACCTATCCAGACTCAGAGAATAAGCAGAGCGTAGATTTAGCCAAGGGAGATCTCACTTTGTGATATAAATTGTTTCATCTAGTCGCTAGAACAAAACAAAATTAACCAGTTTAGTCTGAGTTTTGACCACGAGCATATTTTCTAAAACTTTCAGGTTTGATTAGTAAGCATAAAACCTTAAAAAGATTCCCTTTATCCCGCTGACAACTTTCTGGCTCATCAATATTATAAATGTAGAAAGTTACTCAAAACAAACGATCCAATAAATGTAACACAACACATACTGTGAATCAGGTATCAGGGACATTAGTGCCTTTTAATTTCTAATCTAAAATATTAACAGTTTATTAGTTTATTTAGTCCATAATTCTAAGGTTACATCTTACCAAATCATCTTTATCGAAAGCTGATGTAATTACTCTACGTATGTCATTTTAGGAAAAACTTTTAATTTATTTAGTTTTTTCCTGGCTTCATATGAAAATATTGTCATCCTTATTCTAACCATATGTATATATGTTTTATTCATGATTCAATAACCAAATAAATTTAAGCTTTTTTGATCCATTTTGTTTGTTTGATGCTACTGAAGTGCATAAAATTTAGTAGGAAGAACCTGTCTCGATTTATAAATTTACTGACTTTTTTCAGTATCTTGTTTTGGTTACATGTGAACAAACTTTGGTAAATTGTAGAAGTTTCTGACTGTTATCACAGACAATTGCAGCGTCTAGCACATGTAAATGTACTTGCGTTTTCAAGATATATGAACAAATTTACCTATATATACTCTTAACACATTAGATTAGAAGTTACCACTGAATATTTAAATTTATAACCACAGGTTATAGACAGGGAAATATTATATTTCTATTTTGAATCTTATGGTTTCCATAGGTTGTTATCAAGCCGTACATTTTTGAATGTGCGTTGTACAAACCGATCAATGTTGAAGAAAGTACTTTGAAACTAACAGATGGTGCGGCTGAGTTTAACCTCAAGAAATCTAGTGCTGAACTATGGCATCAATTGACATTGGATGACATGAGTAATTTTGTAGATATATTTTATTTTGTTACTATACTTTTTACTAATTAAGAATTAAGATGCTTAATATTTATAGATCAATTAACACTTCAGAGGACAGAAGACGTTTGTTACAGATTAAACAAAATGCCATACTTGAACATCAAGAACGCGAAATGAAACGCGCTAAAGCAAACAAAGACATGAATGTAAGGGGTGAAAAATACGCATTGGAACAGGTTATGGAAGTAACTTCCTGTATTTATCTTTAAATAAATTGTCGTTGTTTATTAGTTAGAGAATATGTTTCGTGAAAAAATTAGACTTGAAAAAGAGCACGCTAGCAAGCAAGCAATAAGCGAGTTTGTAAATGCTTTTAACCAATCTGGCCAAAAAGAAAATGAGGTAAGTATCCAAGAATATAACATGAAGTCAATTTCTGCATTATACTAACATAGACCGAAACGTTGCTGGAATTATCAAAGGATATTATTTAAACTGACTGAAAGAGTGTAGAACCTGCCGCAATAATGCTCCAGTTTGATTTGCCAGAATTATTGCCATCGAGTGTTGGAGAAACAATAAATGTAACTTAAAAAAGGATGCAAAGATAAGAAATAAAAGCACATGAATAACCTTGATTAAACTTCTATTGTTCAGAGATGGTAAACTGTAGACGTTGATTGACACCAATATTGTGATAAATTAACAGTAAATTTAAAAATTTATCTCTGAACCATATATAATGATTTATTGTAGTGTTACCTTGTCATGCTTTGTCTACCTCAAAGTTCTTTGTCATCCTACTATTACTTCTGATAATGGTACATTTAGGAGTAAACGGTGAATATTTTTTCCGATCATTCAACGGTAGGTGTTCCTAATTCGTCCCAGCATCAAAAACCATCACTAAAAATTTCAAGGAGGGAAAATTCCTCTCTCTAAATGACTAAACTGAGTTTTTTCCCACTTAGTCTTTTAAAATTAATTAACCACCGAAACTGCTGGGACTGAGAATAGGAATAAACCAAGTACTTAGAAGTCTATCTCCCAAATATATCCCTACTAATCGGAATTATGGGATAGGTATCTGAGATCTACATTCATAGAGTCCACTGATTTGTCCTTCCACTTTATCATTCATTTCGCCACCATAGACATGATTTATTTCTCTGTGTACGGGACTAGCCACTTCTGGTACTTTGATATTCAAATGATGTTCCACGGTCATTTCTATCATTAAGGATAGGAACTCGTTTCGATTGACTCCTCAACTATTATTAAACTGTTTGAGAGACGGATCACGCTATATCGTTCGGGAAAAATTCTATTGACTACTCACTTAGTCTGTTTTCTAGGATAAATCATCATAAGTACTTTCTGATTTTATATACTTTGGCGATGTTTGAATAAAAATAAATATTAGATTTTATCCAATATCCTTCTTTTGTAAAGTTGTTTTCTATCAAAAGATATGTTAACCATAACCATTTCAAGATATATAGATATGGTATAAGTTTCAAGTCTTCGTAATATGCAGCAGACAGTAAAGATCACGGAGATAAACCAAAATTTATACTATGTCATAACCAAATAATAATGCAGTGGTATGATTCTGGTATTTTACGCCCTACCTAAGTCAGCGGCTTTTGATTAATTAGTAAAATACGCAAAAACTCAACGATCACACATACAGAATTTTGTATTCATTCGTAAAATGACGAAATTAGACTACTTTTTGATGCATTTGAATTGTAATATTCGTGTTTATTAGGACTTATGAAAGTCCTTAATTGAAAATTTGTCCATAAAATCGATAGGTCCAAAGGATACTCTATTAAAGTAGGTTTTCTTGCCATGATGTCTCAGAAGTAACATACTATTGAACTAAGTTTTACAAGACTTACAATCAATCACTCAGTAAACTGATAATTTGAACTATTTTAGGAACGCAGCAAATTCTCAAATCCTCCGGTTTGTTAAAGTTTTACTATGATCGATTTATTATTATTATTATTATTATTATTATTATTATCAATTTGATGTATAATATGGTTTATGGAGTAAACCTCTTCTTTAAATTAGTGCAAATAAGTGAACAAACGTTAATTTAGTTTTATTTTTTAAAAAAAATACAAAGCTGCAAAATGAAATTACAGAAGCCCGAAGATTTGCTAAACAATATATAAGAGAAACCATTAATGAAGAAAACAACAGTATGTCGATAAATATTTTCCTCTTTTTCAACAGAATTACTCATATTAGTGGAATTAAATAAGAATATCCAACAACGTTTAGCATTTGTTGAGAAACCAATAGATTTGCCAGTGAGGACTTCATCTACAATCGAAGTTAAATTTACACCTAGAGTATTTCCTACACCTGAACGAGAGTCTACAAAACAAGCTGAGGATGAGGTAATTTTAACGGAAAATTACATTTGATCTCATAATACAAACTAACTTCTAGCTATTAAACTATTTTTTATAGTTTAAACTATAGTGTTATTGTACTCTCCTATTATAACTTCTCATGAATAACGTCAACATACTCACCTGCCCGATGTGAAGCAAAACTCACCGTACTTTTATATTTGCTTATTTATATTGTGCCTGCGTTCAGAAAAAATGGACAGCTCCTAACGTTTCAGTTAGTTATTTTATGACACATGTTATACTGATGTAAAACTTTAATACGGGAACGAGAGTGTTAAAATTTAGTGATTTTGTGGTCTCACAATGTTATTTCATACATCCTGATCCCTTGATAAGTTTGATTAAAGTGAGAAGAATAAGATTTTCAGGACGACATGAATTTATTGTATTCCAAGGCTTCTCAACCGCTCCAAACGGCGTGAAGCTACATTAGGAATATTATAAACAAAATTTTACAAATTGTTGTAAATTAAGCTTAGTTCAAAATGACAAAAAAAGACATAAAGGGCAAGAAGAGAAAACAATATATTTGGAGTAATCATTGAGATGCATGTGTTACTGTATTTATATCCTCTCCCCCTTTCATTTAGTGGCTAACTAAACAAGCCGAATATAGAAGAAAACTATTGGACCGTGTTGTACCTGATGATTTGTCCAGGAATGAACTAGATCCTATATGGTTACGCAAAAAGGGAGAGTAAGTTTGGTGTTTTTACTATGTATAGTCGAACGGTCAACCTCCTGCTGTAGACAAATTTATATGTCAGTTAAGATATTGCCAATTCTTGTTCAATAAAATTAGTGGCGTCAGTCATTGACTGAATAACTGAGTCAAGTTAGAAGGTGTGAGTTATCAGGTTGAGGTTCGCGTGGTTATCGTACCTATTGGTTAAAGACACTGAGTGACATAGCATAAAATTGGTCGCAAAGGTGAAAATTCATTCACTCCTTGTCTTCACTCAGATCTTGAGTTTTAGAATTATCTCATGGCATTTTTATTCCGCATACTCATTCTCTTCTCTTAAACCATTTTGTTTATACCTAGTGCTTTCTACTACTACTGATACGGTTGCTCCTTCTACCACTCTGATATCAGGCTTGGTAATTCTGTTTTGATGTGCTGACACGGTGTGGGAACTTGAATCAGTACACATATGTACCTGGTTTCAAGTTGATTATAACTGGCTGACTGATTAAAAATTTTAATAGTTTGTGGGAAATACGTAGATGGAATCCTTTGTCATCTGCATACTGAGTAAATTACAGGTTTGCAAGTAATTACATTTGAGCTAGATGAACATAAAGAGATTGTTGTGTGCATGTAGTTGAACTACCCATATCTTCACTGCACTAAATAAACCAAACAAAAGTTAAATACCATTGACAAATAACCAGTGATAAATCTTCAAAAACTTTTAGTATTGTGGTGAGTGCTACTGATTTTGACAGATATAAGTAGCATGTATCATCAGTTGAAAGTGAAATACCTGGAGGCAGAATGTTAAAAAGATCAAAGAAAAGAGAACGAAAACAAAAAAATGATTAGTGTTGAATCAAAGGAACAATGAAGTCTGAGACTATTGAAATACATTTGTGGAAGGAACAGTCAGGTTTAAGACAATTGCTTGACATTTTGCAAATTGAGTATTTACTGTATGGATCTCAGATTTTACTAAGATTTTCTATAATTTTGTATTCCCATGTATTTGAATGTAGATATAACTCTGTATTACCGTACTTAGAAAGAACAGATAAATATTGCATTGACGAGTAGAACCTATAGGCCATTCTTTTTGGTGGAGTTTTGCTCTCTGAGCTAGACGGTTTGGTCGTGAAGTTCAGAGAACAAAACTCCACCAAAATCATCCACCTGAGCTACAAATCTTTTCCACCATCTCAAAGGCCATTCTTTAATGCAGCGACATCTATTTGTGATTTGAACCAAAGGGTCACGAAAAACCGGTGGATCACTACTAAGTCTGTTACACTGATAGATTCTCGCAAACTCATCTTATCAGGCTCTGAACACGATGAACAGCGTAAACAAATCAGATCTAGGTTAACCAAGGTCTAAGGAACGACTGTGAGCAGTGGTGGGCAACGAAGGCAAAAGTGATGGAAAAGGCGGCGGCTATAAGTAACACAAGACAGCTCCACAGACTAATAAAAGAAACTGGAATTAAGATGTTGGGTGTAAGTGAGACGATCTTGGAAAAAGACAGCACAGTCTTTCTTTTATATGTTACTACCATTGAAGTAACAACTTCTATGAACTTGGTGTTTATCTTGTTGTGCTAATGAGGTGTGGTATGTTGGACCGATGCTGCAAAATGTAGCACTGCCGCAAAAAATCTGACCTTACCTACAGTCTTCAATCCAACCCGTATTAAATAATAATAAGATATTATTACGTGCTGATAGATCATCTGTTGCTTGGTTTTTTAGATATTCTGATCTTAACTTATACTTGATATCTGGAGACTGTATCATCTAAATGAGTTGAATGAGCCGATTATGAAAGTCCAGTTTTTCATTCACTCTTCTTGTTTGTCTCTCACTCTGAAAGAATATCATTATTACTAACTACGTTGTACCATTTCTTCGAATGCAGTTATGATTGTAACTAATAAACTGTTTACGTCATTCGAAATTGTTTTTATAAAACATGTGACGTAAAATTGCATTGCATCAGCCTAAACTGTTACACTTCACAACGACATACAAACAGAATTAAAATGGTTAAAAGGTTATTATTGTAAACAGGAACGAGTGAGTGTTTATGCACTACTATAATCAAGGTATATGTTTTTTATCACTTCTAGGAATATAGTTCAGTTGTTTACAGCCATTTGCTTGAGTCAGATAAAAGTCTAAAAGCACAGCTTCTATGAAGAAAAGCCGATCAGACGTTGTTATGTTTTATGAAAATGCAAAGGAAGTGTATCATAAGAAGGGTTTGTAAATATGATAGAATATTTTCTTTTAAGTTTATTAAATGTAAGTGTTATACATTCTTATATTAAAAATAAATGCATTCATTATCTAACTCAGAGAGAAATATTAATATGCAATGTTTAACATTTTATTATTATTTGTCTCTTTTTTTCGAAAGTTCATTATTTCAAGCTGGAGATTATGAAGCTGCTGTCATTGCTTATACAGAAGCTATAACACAAAATCCTAAATTACATTCGTATCCTTTATGTTAAACTATTGAATAATTGGAAGAAACTTATTTCTATTCAGTATTCATTTTAAATTTCATAAAATTCTACCAGATAATCAGTTTATATCACAAATACACCCTCATTTTGAAGTGATTCTTTAAATGAATTATCATTTTGTGATAAAAGATTTACTTCCTCCAACCACCATCTAATCTTAACATAGTCCAATCAATGTTGAGTCACCTAGACTAGTGGCCACATTGCAGCGTGGTAGATATTATTCGATCTGCATTAAGAAGGACTTGATACACATGACATTGATCACCATCCAGTGATCAATCAATTGAAATTAATCTACATAACCCTTTTATTTTAAGAAAAATCTCTTTCAGTAGTGAATAAACAAAATAGTGATCTTGATGATGATACGCTGAATTAGGTAAAATTAATTCACATAACAAATTAGAATCCACCTTGTTTTTGTTTTTCATAACTCAAACATAAGATAAATAACATGATATATAACAAGTCTTACTAAATGAACTCTCGATCTGATTTCCTAGCCGCTTCTAATAACCCCAGGTTGAATCTATATGGCAACTTGAACATAAGAGAAAAGGCGCGAAAACTGTTGATAAGAATTTATTTGACTGCCAAAATAAATTGAAATAATCTTAGAATACATTACATTTTATATAGTTTGTTTAGTTAGATTAATTTATAGGTTTGTATACATTGAAATGAATTGTATTTAATAATAATAATAATAATAGTTCATTAACATACTGTGTGAATACATTTACTGTATTATATAATGAAGCATTTATAATGCTTCTTAAAATATGAATACATGTTGTACAAGATTGACAAAAGAAAATCAATTTCATATGTCGTTCGCTTTCTAATTAATTAAACCATTACTCTCTATAACAATTTTCATTGTCAATCAAGTTATCTCCTCTTCAAACGAATTTCTCATTATCAAAATTCATCTATAATTTTAATTTAACTGCATTCATATTGTTTATACGAATATTCGTCAAGATTTGAACGAATCGTTTGACAGAAATTGGGCGCCAAGTATAGAGAAGTCATTATATATGAAAATTATATTTGAAATAATCTAAGCAATTGAAATTTAAATAATTTCAACGTTTCGTCCAGCCAACTTGTCATGGACTTCTTCAGGGTAATAATCAAAATCACCAAATTAATATATAGCTTTTTAACAACCAAAACTATACTGTGTTAAACCAATCAAATTTGGATGTTGATTTGTATTGGTCTATAAATATTTTATTCATCAGAAGCTAATAAATGATAGAAACTGAAAGTTTATTCCTAAAAAAGGCTAAATTGTTAATTTGTTTCAGCAACATTAAAATACACTAGCAATTATAGACTGATTAATCATAAGAGATTAATTAATATCTGTTACTTGGTGTTGTTAGACTTCTCTAAATCAAATTGTACTTTGGCCATTAGTCTAAGTTACTCAATATTCCATATAGTATTTTCTGCTGTTGAGTGGTTGGAGATGATTGGAAGGAAACCTTAGATCTAGGTTTCATGCTAACTGGTACTTGTTAGTTACATCTATCTTTCGATAGCGAAGTCGATCCATTAGATCAGGACCTATATTACTCGGTGTCCTAATTATTATTTGCAAGTAAAATACCTAAAAACATTTTGCATAATAATCGGTACTTTTTCATCTTACTATTTTGTGTTCTGTGAAGGTTATCGTGCAAACTATTTTATTCTATTGATATACGGAAAAGCATGTTCTCTGATTTTAGTTATCCTTAATAATAACCAGAAGGTGAATGGAAATTTTATTTCTTATCATATGCGTTTATTCTCGTGTGAATAAATTTCACTTTAACCAAGTAGAACAGTTTTTTAAAAAAAAATAATTATAATCTAGTTATTGTGGATGAAGTGACAATAATCCATGGAAAAGTTTGCTTAACTGTATATTGAAATATTTTGCTGAAAAAATATCTGTTTCTATTCCTTAATCCAAATTTCGAAAATTCAATTAAAGGGCTTATTCAAATAGAGCTGCATGTCACTTACAATTGCGGAATTATTTTAAGGCTCTGGAAGATAGTTCGATGGTACTAGATCTTTGTGTACCGCATGTAGCGCAAAATTTAAAATCACGTGTGCGTGCACATATTAGGCGTGGAGCAGCATTTTGTAATCTACAATTGTACAAAGAAGGTGGGTAGGTTGATAACTATATTAAATGTTGAACTACTAGGAAAATTCACGACCTACTATACTTACTATACCATTATTACTGTTACGTTTATCTGTCAGTATGATTTACTTATTGAGTGTACTAACTGACACATTTCTCAAGATTAAGTGTATATAGGTTGCACGTATTGTATCTCGTAGATAAAACCCGTAGTACGATTAAGGATAATAAGGAGAAGCATTTACCTTAGCATACAATCTGAAATAATAACGTCATTAGTCACACACGTTATACAGCATAAGATTATGTTACTTATTATATGTTGTAGTTTAGAGTATACATTGTTTTAAACTTGGATGATAGTGGTATCAATGATTTTACCCTTAATATATAAATACACGAGTGACAGAAAATACAACAATTTCCAGTCTCCTAAAATTGAAGCTGAATTTCAGTGATTCAAACTCTTGACCTAAACTACTATCTTATGCTTTCAAACTCCTTTTAGTTAAGTTTTTTGAAAAAGACAATATTTCGAAGTGAAGTGTTATGGTGATGACACTTTAAAATATTAGTTTGCCTGGTAAATTTGAACACAGCAAAAACAACAAGATCCCCAAAATAAAATGGAGTCATTCTGTTTCAAGGCTTTTTATCGGCTCTAAACAGCCTAAAATTACATAGAGTGATATAGTTAGAAACATTTGATATATTTATGTGAGTGTATTGGAGTTGAATGTCCGAAACAGGATCAAAACCATGAAAAGGCGAATAAGACACATTTTATTAAGCAGTTAAGACTGATGGATTTTTATATTTGGAAATTATGGTCGTTCAGAGTAGCGGAAGTGAGATCATCGACACTAGTAATCATAATGAAGAAAATGATAAATAATCAGTCAATATAATTTGCATCGAGTTCAAATCAATTTATGAGCATCATTAATATTATGTATGAGGTGGAAATTACCCGATTACAATTATATTTGCCATAACAAGAGATAGAATTATCATGCTTTTATTCCGTACATATAGGTTAATTCTGGAAAGTCTGATAACAACTGCCTTGTTATGGTGGTGAGATATCTTCACAAAACTATCAAACCATCCTATCCATTCACATAGTCAGTATATAATTGTCTAGTTAATTATTTACAATCTTTTACAAAGTATAGTCGTGACTGTAAACATGCATACTCATGTATAGTGTTTTTGAAGCGATGTTATTATTTAGTTGTTTAAAAATATACATTTTTAAATTTCACCCAGGATACTGAAAGGGAGTCAGATATCATGAATTTTTACGAGTACATGTTTGTCAATAAATATAAATATATAGCTAGATAAATCTAACGTCTGATAATCGTCTAAAACATTTTTCTTTTGTTTTCTTTACGCAGGGCTTATCGAATACAGAGCTGCACAAAAACTTCAACCAGATGATGACACAATTAGAAAGGACATTGAAAATTTAGAGAAATTTGTAAATCAAGAATAATTAATATATTGCGAAGCTACTTAGACTCATTTCTACATTAAATTTTTGTTGTGACTTTGTCTTAGGGATAAATCAGGTAGAGTATAGACATCCATTTACTTTTTTCTAAGTTGCTGTAAATGATAAGTATAAAATTGACAATTTTGGTCATACCCCCTTAACTTTGCCATTTATCACTCTATGGAGTCTATTCCACCTTAAATGCTTTTTATTTATGTAAGACTATCTCAGGCAAAAAATATTTTTCGGTTCCATAATTTTCCATAAGCCACATAAATTGTATCTGTAACCATGAAATGTGCTTTGGACCATGCGATTATAAATTAATTTTACAAGATTATTGAAAGCCTGTGTACATACCTACCCTTGGGGCTGAACCGTTATGAGTTGTCAACACCTCTAACCATTAGGTTAGAAATATGTGATGGTGTGACATGTTAGACCGAACCAATCTTTATATGGCGAAACGCAGAATATTGTTGTCTACATCAAACGGTATTTAATATTAGTATCTACAAGTAGCACTGAGGGAGAAATGATGTACATATATAATGTATCTAGAAATATGTTTTGCGAAGTAATATTTAAACATATCATGGCACCGAAAACAAGAATTCTATCAGAATGCTATTTTCTACTACAATAGTGGATGGAAAATCTACCTATTTTAAATAAAACAAGAAGAAAATGGAGTTAAAGTAATGTATGAAATTGGGAAATCAAAACGGGATTCGACTAAATACAGCAAAAATTCTAGAAATTAGTTACATAGTTTAGACTAATTTGTTCGATTTGTAGATAGGTTTCACCATGAAATGATATTAGTTGGGAAATAATTGAAAACCAATGAGCCGTAGATAGTTATTTACTTTGTCTTGGACCTCTCAGTAGTGTACAATAAAGTTGAACAAACACCTAGTTTCACGTTTGAACACCATATTGTTACACCTCTGAATGATTCACATTTTCCCTCTTTAGTGGTACTCGTGAATGTGTTCACTTTCAGTTTTAGTAGTCCCATAGGTCATCAATTTCCTTCAGTACTCTGACGAGATCATTACAATTCTGGTCACCAGTGTCCCAACATCGAACTGAAAATTATTATCAGAATGGGTTTTGTGGAGAGTTTTTTAGAAATTTCACAGGTTGAAATCATGAGCCGATTGAAGCTAGACCACCATGGAAAACCTGGAAGCACTGGACGGCCGTTTCGTCCTAGTATGGGACTCCTCAGCAGTGCGCATCCACGATTATATAGCTAAGTGAATTATGTACCTCATTTAATTTGTCAGTCTGTGATAAAAATGTTATATCGAAGCAATAGTTATTTTCCTTACTTAAATTTTGAAGTTTGTCGAGGAACTTTTTTTCTACTTTTTGAAAAGTCATTTACAGCGTCAGAATCATATTAAGTCGAATGACGAAATATGTTTTGATAGTGTAGTTTTTTTCTATCATCCTCGATACTATAGTGACAGTAAAATTAAAACAGTATGTTTCAAATTAATGAATATTTGAGATGTTAAAAGCCAATGGTTTTCTTAAATACTGATCATGAAACGAATTTAAATTCAATTCGAATAAAGGCTTCCTGATTTAATTGATTTCTCACTATTAAGATTTTGAGGATTATATATGCAATCAAGTCTTCACTACTTGTGAGTAGACAAAATGAGTATTGAAAAAGACAAACTATTTGTAGACAATGTTTACTGTATAAAGCAATTTTAGTCAGTATCATTATATGGTTATGATTTTTCAAATATGTTTCGAATTCTTCAGTGGACACTGAAAAATACAAGAAATCAGTTGTTCTAAATGATACGTAATCCATGTTATTGACAGTTTGAAATTTGTTTCCTGACTTGTGTTCTGACAGCTTAATTAGTCATTGTAAGAAGGCTATAATATCTATGTAGAATCCTGTCTCTTAGTTATGATTTATTAGTTTCTTCTATGACAAAATTTTTTGTTTGAGAATGATACTCAAGTCATACAACATCCCATATAATTCAAAATCGTAGTTCTTTTTGCAGCGACGGACAATAATCTTAGTTTGTTAGCATTACTGAAATACCCTGAACATAATCGAAAGTCCAATTCAATACCTTTTGCTGGAATTATACTAAACTTATGAATGGCAATTAGTTGGAGAGCCTGAGATTATTCTGATGAATAAAATGGATTATTTAGATAAGATGTTTTAATTTTCCTAAGTTTTTCATGTCTAAATAGTACATAGTACTAGCCATAGGTAAGTATGTGACCGATAGGTACTCAAGGAGATCTTAGCTGATAATTCAGTTCAAGAATACGAGTAATGGCTTAATGTAAAGACATTAAACAGTAGTGTTAGTTACTTACGTTTCTATAAAAATAATCTACTAAATTGGATTAGGTATATGATGGAATCAGATGTGGAAATCGTTATCCTTATGGGCCGACACTACCTAATTGAAAGCTGGACATCCATGAGCATTAGATAAAACTTTTGCGGTGGTTTAGTACTCTTCAAAAATCATTGTCAATAATTACGTACATTATTCAATCTATACCCTTCAGATTTGGAAGTAAACACTATACTTTTGAGACAAGGAGTTGTAATATGGTAGTCCACCTTCTTAACTCTGACCAACTTATAACTAGCATGTTTCGTATGAAAATCATTGTTTATCCTTACTTATTTCTCACTTCTCTATCTCACTTTCAACATATGATATCGTTAATTATCTGAGTTTTCTTCCACTCCAAATCCCAAACAAGTGTAAATATTTTAGCAATCAAGTCGTTTTAATTATTCCTGTAATCTTGTTTTCATCAAGCTTTTTAGCAATTATACAAACGATATTATTTTGTTTTTATCCCCTAACTTAATTCTTGTTACACTTTCGCGAAAATTACAGAAGATAAACTTCTCATACAGTAGGTTAGAAAATGATGATGAATATGTATCTGATGTTTTCCAATGACTGACACAAGTGTATAGAATAGAGCTGTATTAGTTTAAGATGTGTTTAGTAAAGATCCAGACAATACTGTACTGATATCAATTGCTTCTTTAAAATCGATCAGTAATATTTGAGGAGTTCCACAATAGAACGAAACGGCCATTCAGTGCTTCCAGGTTTTCCATCGTAGTCTAGCTTCAATTGACTCATGATCTCAACTATTGAATTTGCTATAATATCCGCAAAAACCACTTTTAATAATATTTGTGTTAAACCATGAAAAACTCGTTTTCATGATATTCCAAATCACATGTACAAATGCTGCACACAAAGTGATCAAAATATATGTTAATTGAATTTTAATCAATAACTTGACTTATGAATACATGACTAAGTAATACACAGTAATCATATGTTTCAATGAAGCTTTTATGTACCACTTTTTGTCAGGTCCCATCAAAAACTGGCGAGATTTTAATCATTTCAGTAACTAATTAATTTATACACTTCCAATCAATAAAAATGTAAAGAAATTATATTAATTTTTTTTTGGTTGACAACAAAGTTATTTAATGAAAAGCAAAAGTACAGCATAAAATTCTTTTCTCATTAGAGTTCATAAGTAAGTGATATTACAGTCACTAGGTTAAAAAGAATTCTTATTATTTTATCCTATATAACTCAATTGTACTTAAACATTTCTTACTAAAAGTGAAATGTTTGATATTGTCTATGTAGAAAATTCATCCTTTTATATTTTGATATAATATCGAGTTAACATAAAACTGATGAATTATAGAATAAAGTATTTTAATGTTTAATATAATATATTACACGATGTAATTTTATTCTTTGTAATTGTCTATCCCCAATATTCAGTAGTATTCTTTGTTAAAATGTTTGTTTGTAACTTTGCTATAAATTTAATAGATCATTTTTAGAACGATAAAATAACATGTTTGAAGAAAAATTCTTAAAGTCTAATCATACCTACATATTGATCATCATTATAAATTGCAATATTATATTGAAGAGTGTGTGATCATATCAGGCTTAGATTTCTGTTGTCTATTTATGATAAAGATTCATACCAATGGTAGATATTCTTTGATATATTCTTTGACATATTTGTCTTTTAACTATCCAAATTACAGAATACTAGATATTTTATTGACGCTATAGTTACTGACAGAGTATGGTAAATTTAACTGAACTATTTATTTCTACCTCTATCATCAGTTCATTAGATTTGTTCATTAAATTTGTTTTATTCTGTCTGCTCTGAAGTTTTTTTTTCTCTCTCTAACATTCTTTCATACTCCTTGTCTCTAATGGATAGTTTTAGATTTATTCTCTTCTCTTCTCTGGCTAGCTGATTTTTTCTGAGCTTATCAAAATATATGTATTACCTGATTCTTTTCTTTCTATACTATAGAACTCCCTTTCACTAATACATGTGCTCACATGTTTATTTAATCATCAAACATTTTATTATATTGCAACATATATACATATTATCTGTTCCCTTGTTGTTTTCTTATTTTGTTCATGCTTCATATATATAATGAAACAATAATAATATTTGATGTAATTTAACGGTATACTAAAATTCAAAGATAGACAAGTTTCGCAACATGCTCATGAAAGAAAGCAAACTACCCATTAATAAAATAAAAGATTGAGCCTGATAAATAGAAATATAACAGAAGTAATGAAAATAAAATAGTCTGAACACTAGTAATTGTTTTTCCTAAACAAGGAAAGAAAACCAGAACATTCAAAAGGGTTGATGTTTATTTTATATTTCCTTCTTTTCACTCAGTTGTATTTTCATTTTGGGAAGTGATCTGAGAACTACGATTAATTTACCTCTAGTTCTTCTATATAACAAGAGGGATATGTTTAGCTTGGCAGTTTCTTGTCATATGGTAGCTTTTTAATTCCGGTAATCAACGAAGTTGTACTCCTTTAAACCTTCTTCAATTACTTACTGTATTTTTTAGGTAGAAGATGGCCGCTTGTGTGCAATACCCAAGTTTAAAATGAAAAAAAACTGTTATCAAAGCAAGAAAGATTTTAGCAACGACATAATTAAAGACTCAACGTATTAACCATAGGGTTCTAAAACTTTTGGCGGGTATCGCACGACAGTGTGCCGTAATTATCATGTTTTGGCTAATGATGACTCCTCTGTCATTGTGTGGGGAACAGGTAATTCAT